TATCTGTAACTATCTTTATTAAAAACAAAAAACAAACAAAAAAAAAAACACCTTGTAGAAAAATATTTGGGGTTACTTAAAACGCATTTGGCCAAAAATTAGCCAGGCGTGGTGATGCACACCTGTTATCCCAGCTACTTGGGAGGCTGAGGCAGGAGAATTGCTTGAACCTGGAGGTGGCGGCTGCAGTGAGCCAAGATCAAGCCCTGCACTCCAGCCTGAGTGACAGAGCAAGACTTTGTCTCAAAAAACAAAGAAAAGAAAAGAAAAAGTATTTGGCTTAATCTGCAATGCTATATCATCTGATTTATTCGTACTGTAAAATGGAAAACTAAGATTATAAAAAAAAAAAAAAAAAAAGACGTGACTAGCTAGCATTTCAAATTTTTTAAAACTTTGTCTATAAAATCCAGTACCATTTTTATAAAAACCCCACACATTAAGGATCCACCTTTGGTTAAAATGTATGGTTAAAAATGATATATTTTGTATATATAAAATATATTTTTATTTTTATTATCTATTTAATAAAATATAAATTATATATTTATATAATAATGTATATTATAAAATATATTGATGTATTTTAACCATATGTGTATCATTCATACCCCCCCACACACACACAACCCCATAGGAGACCTTACTCAAACTGAATTTACCTAAGACCTCCTGGTCTTGTCTGAAAACACGGATTCTGTAAGTATACTTCAAAGATTATCATGATGACTAAATATGACATAATGTATGTGGTATATTAAATCACCTAAAAGTGCCAAAAATACTTTAGAAAGTTCAATAAATCTTCGTTCTTATTATCATCATTCCATCTACTATTTGATAGAGACTGTAGGAAAGCACAAATGGTCCAAAGACCAACAAAACCAAAAATATAGCTGTCTTTAAAAATACTCCCTTGGAAAACAACTAACCCTTATTAATAGGATCACACATTTTATGTTACAAATCTTAATCAGAATGCAAGCTGTCCCTAGATACCATTTTTTTAAATCAGAAGTCTTGTAGATCTAAAGCTATGGAAGCTGAAATACCAAGAAAGTTGCTGAATATAAGGGAAAGACATCTCTACATAAAGTAGCAATTCAATGCCATTTTTTTAAAAGATAAATTCTCAGTAATAAGGCTAAACCCTAAAGAAATAATTTCCTAAGCTTCTATTGTAACCTAAATATCTATAAAAGTACACAGTTGGAAAGAAGGCCCTCAAAAATTAAGCGCATACTTCATCCAGACTCTGAGAAAATCCGTTAACTACATTAACTTTTTATTACATAAGCAATACATAAGCAACTTTTCCACATGAAAAAAAGCTATGTTAACATGTAGCACAGAGGTATTAGAGTAAAAAGCTAAAGAAATGACCATAAAATCTGACATCTTACTAAAAAAAAAAAGAACAGTCACTTTTGTTTTATGCATATATATGTGAATTTTACTGTCTTTTCTGATTAAATTGACCACATTAGTGGTGTCTTCGTTAACAGAAATACTGATTTAAAATGTTTATATGGAAACTAAGAATATCTCTGCTATCAAAGGCTGAAGAAGCTCAAATTTTGTTTACACTTATGAAGTGTTACAAAAGTCAGAAATACCATTAGAATCCTGTGATATTAGCTTTACTTGAAGCAACATGCTCTTTCTGTACTCAGGCTTTACCACTAACATAAACACATACATACATAAATATTTATATGAGGCCAGATACGGCAGCTCAGGCCTGTAATCCCAGCACTTTGGGAGGCCGAGGCAGGTGGGTCACCTGAGGTTAGAAGTTTGAGACCAGCCCGGCCAACATGGTGAAACCCCATCTCTAATAAAAAATACAAAAATTAGCTGGGCATAGTTGGTTATGCCTGTAATCCCAGCTACTCAGGTGACTGAGGCAGAATTGCTTAAACCCGGAAAGGGGGTGTTTCGGCGAGCTGTGATCACGCCACTGCATTCCAGCCCAGCCAATAGAGGAACCGAACCAAAACAAAACCAAAAAAACACCAATTCATACACATATAATTTTATACCTCAAATCAAATGACAGCCTTTGCCTCTTTTAATAATAAGGAACCCCAATGTTGTAAGTAAACTAATGTCTGTACCACTCCTTAACCCAAAATTAATCTAAGCAATTGTCAAAACTTTTAAAAAAGTTAATCATCTCTTGGAGTTCCTATAGTCTGAAGTGTTATTTTATTTGCATCAATAACCCTAGCAAGAAAAGGTTAATTCGCTTTCTGTTATTTTCCATTTTTAAGAAGTCTACTAGAGAGAGTACCACATCAAACCATATTACCACTAGACAAAACCAAGTGGGGAACAGGGTAAGGAGGGATAGTTACTAAATAATGCCAGTTCTCGAGTAATTAAGAGAATGGAAAGGGTAAAGAAAAAACAAATAGGGGTGGTGAGTGTGTGTGTGTGTAATCTGCCACAAGTACACTTTAACTATTATACTCAGCAAACACTGACACAAATAATTAGCAGCACAAAAACCCATTTCCCCCAGCCAACTGAGAAGCAGAAAAATCAGGAAGCAATAAAGTGGGTTAAGAGAGTCAGAGAACAAAGCAATAAAAGGGTAAGAACCCAGTCTCTCAGTCCCTGAATCATCTAGAGCTAACTGTAAAGCAAACAACACACAAACTAAAAATGAAACTGGGGTTGTTTTATTCTACAATCCAGATTTTGGAGTATAAAAGTCTCATACATAACTTCAAAAGATCGGCCGGGAGCGGTGGCTCACACCTACAATCCCAGCACTTTGGGAGGCCGAGACGGGTGGATCATGAGGTCAAGAGATCGAGACCATCCTGGTCAACATGGTGAAACCCTGTCTCGACTAAAAATACAAAAATTAGTTGGGCATGGTGGTGCATGCCTGTAATCCCCAGCTACTTGGGAGGCTGAGGCAGGAGAATTGGTTGAACCTGGGAGGTGGAGGTTGTGGTGAGCCAAGACTGCACCATTATACTCCAGCCTGAGCAACAAGACTGAAACGCCATCTCAAAAGAAAAAACAACCCAAACACAAAGATAAAATTGAAAAATTTTATAAACATGTTTCAACATACCAATATATTAAAATACAGACAAAAAAAGAGTAAATTAAAAGCAGAAAAAACTTAATGCATCACTGATTAAATAAGAATTAGATTCTGCCTGTTCAGAGAAAGTGATTCATAAACTGCCATTCTGAAAAATCAAAATATAAGATCAGGCCACGTTCGGTGGCTCATGCCTGTAATCCCAACACTTTGGGAGGCCGAGACAGGTGGATCACCTGAGGTCCGGACTTCCAGACCAGCCTGGCCAACATGGTGAAACCCGATCTCTACTAAAAATTCAAAAAAAACATAGCTGGGTGTGGTGACACACACCTGTAATCCCAGCTACTCGAGAGGCTGAGGCAGGACAATCACTTGAACTTGGGAGGCGGAAGCTGCAGTGAGCACTCCAGCCTGGGTGACAGAGAGAGACTCCATCTCAACATAAACAAACATAAATAACAAATAAATAAAAGTTCAAAATACCTATGGTTCAAAAATAAAGCTTTTTTTTTTTTATTTGCAGCCCCAGCTGTTGCACAAAAATAAAATTTTAAAAGAAAAATGCAGCCGGGCGCGGTGGCTCAAGCCTGTAATCCCAGCACTTTGGGAGGCTGAGGCGGGTGGATCACGAGGTCAAGAGATCAAGACCATTCTGGTCAACATGGTGAAACCCCGTCTCTACTAAAAATACAAAAAACATTAGCTGGGCATGGTGGCGCGTGCCTGTAATCTCAGCTACTCAGGAGGTTGAGGCAGGAGAATTGCCTGAACCCGGGAGGCGGAGGTTGCGGTGAGCTGAGATCGCGCCATTGCACTCCAGCCTGGGTAGCAAGAGTGAAACTCCGTCTCAAAAAAAAAAAAAAAAAGAAAAAAAGAAAAATGCTCAGCCACTTAATGACTGTTCAAATCATTTTCTAAAGTAGGTGAATGATCTCTTTTACAGATTCAGAAATTACAAATGTTTATATTTATGTCATAAATATACATAACATACAATTATAATATGCATTTATTATAATGTATGTATGATACATGTATTTGTTTCTAGTCCAGCTTAATTTGAAAGAACTGAAAAGGTTATTTGGTACTACTAGTTCAGAATCGCAAGTAAATTCACTTAAAGCAGCTGTACAATTTGACCTGTTTCACCTTAACTTTTATTTCTGAATGATGGCCCTAACTTATTAAAATAAAAGATGAGTCACTATAATGTCTAAGTACTATTTATATATACGTACAATTTATTTAAAAAAACCCAGAGGTATTCTTATCTTGAATGTATTTAGTTCAATAGTAAATCTTATGCAACATGCTTCTAAAATATTATGTGGCTGCTTCTTGGATAACTATGTTAGAAAAAAAATTTTTTCGGAAAATTTTAAAAATTAATATTGATAAGGAAATATACATGTATGGTTAAATAATTTAAACAGTCCAACAGGGTGCACAGTGAAAACAGGTCTCCTTCCTATCCCAGGCCTTCAGCGGTAGCCATAACTGATGAACCTCAAAGACAAAAAGCTGTGATTTCTCCCCCAAATATTTTTGTAACAGACCCAAAAATCAAGGCATAAGGCATTTGATATTTTAAGCAAAATTCTTTTTTTTTTTTTTTGAGACGGGGTTTCGCTCTTGTTACCCAGGCTGGAGTGCAATGGCGCGATCTCGCCTCACCGCAACCTCCGTTTCCTGGGTTCAGGCAATTCTCCTGCCCCAGCCTCCTGAGTCGCTGGGATTACAGGCACGCGCCACCATGCACAGCTAATTTTTTGTATTTTTAGTAGAGACGGGGTTTCACCATGTTGACCAGGATGGTCTCGATCTCTTGACCTCATGATCCACCCGCCTCGGCCTCCCAAAGTGCTGGGATTACAGGCTTGAGCCACCGCGCCCGGCCTAAGCAAAATTCTTAAAGCAAAAAACAAAAGAGTATGATATATAGCAAACTGTTCATTGGATTACACTGTATTATTTCAAAATCCTATGCAATTAAATACCCAAAGAATCAGGCCATTTAAACTATATAAAAATACAACCTGAAACCCCTTCAAAAATAAATCTCTAACTCTATGAATTCACTGGTTAGAAAACTCACAATCTATTATATTTGGTATCACTGTTAACAGCCCAAATTAATGTCAAACTAAATTGAACAATTCAACTTCACCAACACTTCTTCCCTTCAATAAAGGAAACCACAACAATAAAAAATCCTGGCTGGGCAAGGTGTGGCTCATGTCTGTAGTAATCCCAGCACTTTGGGAGGCCAAGGTGGGAGGATCACAATGTCAGGAGTTCAAGACCAGCCTGGCCAGCCTGGTGAAACCCTGTCTTTATTAAAAATACAAAAAAATTAGCTGGGCATTGTGGCACGCGCCTGTGGCCCTAGCTACCTGGGAGGCTGAGGCAGGCGAATTCCTTGAACCTGGCAGGCAGAGGTTGCAGTGAGCCAAGATCGCACCAGTACACTCCAGCCTGGGTGACGGGGTAAGACTCCTTCTCAAAAAAAAAAAAAAACCTTAAAAAAAAATTTTTTTTTTAAATAGAATATGAGACACAGTAACATTTCTTTAAAAATGTGTTTTACTTTTGTACAGAGTATCTTTTTGGTGTTTTTAATGTTTTACAAAGGGCCAAAAATAGTAACTTGTAACTAATATAAGCAGTTACTTCAGGGAAAAGTAAAGACTCCAAAAAAAAAAAAGCCTAAACAAACTCACTAAAATTACTTTCATAACCTAGTGTTTCATTTTAAAAGAAATGTGATTTCTCAATGATATAAAGATTCTATATAAAGTATGAAGACATAACAGCAAACATAAATCAGGAAAGAAAAACCGTTAAAATGCTTCTTGATAAATTAATGTTACATGGCCAGACTCTGTCTCAAAAAAAAAAAAGTCCTAAAAGAATATAATTTAAAATGACAGAATATGCGACACAGTAACATTTCTTTAAAAATGAGTTTTACTTTTGCACAGAGTACCTTTTTGGTGTTTTTTATGTTTTACAAAGGGCCAAAAAAAGGTTACTTGTAACTAACAAGTAAGTGGTACTTGAGGGAAAAATGAGGACTCCAAAAAAAACTAACAAAAACTCACTAAACTACTTTCATAAGTTAGTATTTCATTTTAAAAGAAATGTGATTTATCAGTGACATAAACGTTCCATACGAAGTATGAAGACACAAAATAGGAAAGAAAAACCATTAAAATGTCTCCTGATAAATGTATGTTTTCAATGATACCTTTAAAAAGGTGGTTCAAATTTAAGAGGCTGTAAAAATATTTTAAATAGTTGTAAGTTAAAAGTCATCCAGCACTACATGTCACTAGAAACAAATAATCTATTCTAATGGATAATTCATTATCAACCAGACATATCAAAACTAAAAGAAAAATTTACAATGCTCCGCTAAAAATTAAATTTTAAAAATAGTCTTAAGTGCATACCCATTAAATCCAGTGACAATTTTCAGTATTCTTTCCTTCATTTCATCAAAGGGAATATATTCGACATTAGGGTTGGGAGGACCTCTTGGCTCAGGAGCTGAAGTTCTGAAATCATCCATCACTTTCTCCAGTTTGAAAATAAAATAGCCTTTAAATTGGGACCACTGAATCCTATAAGCAAAAAATTAAAAAATATATAATACCATGTAGCTTTACAATTCTTGAACACAAAGTACAAATGCAGAATATACAACACTAATGCTAACAAAATTAGGAGATAATTAGTAATGAGAATGTTGTTATTCAGGAGCATGTATCAATGCCTCATATACCTTACAAACTCCATCCTGATGCTATCCAGCTCCCAAACCAAACAAAACCCAGATGTCTGACGACTTAAATCTTTTAAATGAACTACCTCTTCCTGAAAGTCTATGGTGTGTTAGTTCCTATTCTTACCATATTTAAAACAGTATTTTGACTATCCCTCATAACAAACCTAATCATGGAGGTGTTAGTTACTATCCTATTAAGTCAGAATGAATCCATACCTTCAGCATCCAAGTTACAATGCTTACAGGGACTAGTAAAATTTGTCTGTTATCTGCTAAATAACAAAATAAACTACTTTCTCCTTTTTCTTTCCCTTTCAGTTAACATCTTCAGGCTCTTTGTCACTTAAGAGACAAAAGTTATGTATCTATTCATTTATCATATTAACAAACACCTTTTAATCCCTCTTTCCTCACATTTTACCACTAATATAAGGGGAAATTTTTTGAGGATACATGCCTGAATAGTGTAAATTCCAGGAGACATAGGAGTCAGGAATGCTAGCCATTTCCTCAGGCAGACAGTACTACTATTAGTGACAGCAGTACAATCTCTTTACACAGGTTGACCACTCAACGAATTTACACAAATTAACAAGAGTGAATCTGTAATCACCTTCCATCTCATCCAGCAACCCTATAAACTAAGGCAGCACTTTTCAAATTGTGGTCCAAAGCTACTGTCAAAACAATAACAGCTGACTAGTTCACTGTTAATATTTGCACTGATGGTGTAAAAGCAATGGTGGATAAAACATATATATTTAGCAAGAGTCAAGGCAGTAGCACCGAACTGTACACACAAACTGTATTATCACTAGCAGTAGAAGCCACCATTTTCAACACCACAAACTCATAATTTAAAGTCTGTTTCACTTAAAGTGGAGAAGATATAAAAATTACTAATTTCATTAAATTCCAACCCTTGAATACACCTTTTTAATATTCTGTGTAACAAAATGAGAAATATACGTTAAAAAAATTACGCTGCATATCAAAGACGTACGGGACTCTCAAGGAACAATACCTTTATTTAGAGCTGAACTAGCTGCTATTTTTCACAGAACAGCATTTTTACCTGAAAGGACTGCCACACAAATAAACTCATTTAGATTACTATACTGGGTGTGATGGCTCACTCCTGTAATCCTAGCAGGTGATCACTTGAGGTCAGAAGTTCAAGATCAGCCTGGCCAACATGGTGAAACCCTGCCTCTACTAAATATATAAACATCAGCCAGGTGTGATGGTATATACCTGTCATCCCGGCTACACAGGAGGATGAGGCAAGGAGAATCACTTGAACTCAGGAGGCAGAGGCTGTAGTGAGCCAAGATGGCACCACTGCACTCCAGCCTGGGCAACACAGCAAGACTCCATTCCCCTGACCCCCTCCAAAAAAAAAAAAAAAAAAAGTCTGGAAAATTTTTATTCTTCACTGTGAAACCTTCCTGATATATTCCCAAGATATTCTGAAGGCAACCAGTGTTGACATAAAAATATTATGCAGGGCCAGGTGTGGTGGCTCATGCCTGTAATCCCAGCACTTTGGGTAGCTGAGACAGTAAGATCACTAGGGCCCAGGAGTTGGAAGCCAGCCTGCGCAAACATCAATATCCCATCTCTACAAAATAATCAATTATTAATCGATTTAAATTAGGCATGGTGGTATGCACCTGTAGTCCCAGCTACTCAGGTGGCTGGGGCAAGAGGACTGCCTGAGCCCAGGAGGTAGAGGCTGCAGTAAGGCAAAATCACACACCATTGCACTCCAGCCTGAGTGACAGAGCAAGACCCTGTCTCTTAAAAAATATATTGTGTGACACCAAAAGCACAAGTAACAAAACAGAAAAATTGAGTTGTATCAAAATTAAAATTTTTGTGCATCAAAGGGACACTATCAACAGAGTAAAATGTCAAATCATGAAATGGGAGAAAATATTTGCAAATCTCATATCTAATAACGGGTTAATACCAAGAATACATAAAGAACTCCTTCAACTCAAGAAAAAAGTCAAGCCAATTTAAAAATGGTCAAAATACTTAACTAGGCACGACTCCAAAGAAGATATACAAATGGTCAACAAACACACAAGAAGATGCTCAACACCATTAATCTTAGGGAAATGTAAACCCAAATCACAATGAGATACCACTTCGTACACATCAGGGTTGGCTATTAACCAAAAAATAAGTGAACAAGTATTGGCTGGCCAAGGATGTAGATAAACTGAAACTCTTGTGCACTGTTGGTGGGAACAATGCAGTCACTGTGGAAAACAGTATGAATCCTCATTTAAAAAAAAAAAAAGCAAATATAGAACTACTCTATGATTCAGCAATTCCATTTCTTCGTAGATCCCGAAAAGGTGAAAACCACCCAAATGTGCAACAGCATATGAATGGATAAACAAAATGTGACACACACACATACACACGAATATTAGTCTTTAATCTGAAAGAAATTCTGACATGCTCCAACATGGATTAAACTTTTAAACTTGATGGCATTATGCAAAGTGAAATAAACCAGATACAAAAAGAACAAGTATTTATGATTTCACTTATATGAGATATCAAGAATAGTCAAATTTAGAGACAGTAGTCTGGCACTGTGGGAAGAAAGGTGGGGACTTACTGTTTAATGTGAACAATGTTTCAGTTTGGGTAGACAAAAAGTTCTGCAGATGAATGATAGTGATGGCAGCACAACATTGTCAATGTACTTAATGCCTATAAATTGTATACTTAAAATAGTTAAAATGATAAGGTTTACATTATATATATTTCAACAGGTATTTCCCCACAAAGAATATACACAAATGGTCGATAAGCATATGAAAATATGCTCAGCATTATTATCTATTAGAGAAATGCATATCGAAACCACAAAGAGTCACCCATTGCAACACCCACTAGGTGGCTACAATAAAGAGGAGGAATAATAAACAAGTACTGCTGGGTTGCTGTGGGGAAACCAATAATGTCGCACATTACTGGTGGTAACGTAAAACAGTGTAGCTGCTTTGGAAAATACTTAGGCAGTTCCTCAGAAAGGTAAATGGAGCCTTGTAATCCAACAATTCCATTCTATTAAATGAGTGAATTCTGTATTTTACCATTAATACTTTTAAAAATGGTGAGGATGATTAAAAGCTATTTGCATGATTACTTTTTTCCTCCTTTCTCTACCCTATTTTAGAAAGGGGAATTTGAGGTTTAACAAGCAGATCTGCACATCACAGAATTTTAGATATGTCTAATATTAATCCTGATTAATACACAATTGCTTTTGGTTCCTAAAATTTATCTTTAAATTTTACATCTCCCCACATGCACTTTATATTTAAACATGCCAGGGAAAGTTATACTGAAATAGGATGCTTATACTTTTCATTTCTTAATTATTTTTTGTAGCTTTAACAGTAACCCACTAATTTGTAGTAGCTTCAGTTCAGATTTCCACATGCATCCGGTTTTGTGATGTGCATTTTAATCTCATTTTTCCATTAACCATCTGACATGACATCTTTGAGGTCCAAAAAAAATCACACATTAACATGAACAGCCAGACAAGAGGTATGGGGCCGCAGGTAATGGAAATTCTGGGGAGCTTCAAAGACCTTATGGCACTAACTCCTGAGACAGAAATTAAGCCCCATAAATTGACATGAATTATGTACACACTGTAGTCTAACTTTCAAATAAATCAAGCAGTTACTCTAAATAAGATCAATTCAATGCAATTCAAGTGATACTATGCCATAGATAGATAGGGGAGGGGGGTCTTTATAAAATGTGAGAGACAGCTTTTTGTTGGAGCACAACTATTTGATAAAAATAAAACCAGAAAATGCTTCCCTAAAAGTTATATAATTCAGGGGCCAGACGTTGTGGCTCACACCTGTAATCCCAGCACTTTGGGAGGCTGAGGAGGATGGATCACCTGAGGTCATGAGTTTGGGACTAGTCTGGCCAACATGGTGAAACCCTATCTCTACTAAAAATACAAAAATTAGTTGGGCGTGGTGGTGCAAGGCTGTAGTCCCAGCTACTTGGGAGGCTGAAGCAGGAGAATTGCTTGAACCTGGCAGGTGGAGGTTGAAGTGAGCTGAGATCGCACCACTACACTCCAGTCTGGCGACAGAGCAAGACTCCATCTCATTATTTAAAAAAAAATAAAAGTTATATAATTCAGGCACAAAAACAGACCATGAGCAAATCAACTAAAAATTTGGCAACAAAAACAATTTTCTTAGGAATGTACACTCACTCACTGGATGAGTAGGAATGAGAACAACAAAAAATCCTTAGTTTTTAAAATGAAAATCAAATTATTCTAAACAGATGGTACATAAACAAATTTTCAACTTCAGAACAAATTTCTCCACATAAAATCTCCTCCAATAAAATACATACTCAAAATTTAAATCTACTTTGCCAAAATTAACTCAAGAATTTACTGAAATTCATCACTCATTAACTTTTTTAAGTAGCACCACCTCCCTTCACTTGCTTTTTCTTATTCCCTTCCACTGACCTTTTTTCTTCATAGGAACTCACAAGTCCATATTCAAGTATGTTTCTCTCACAACTCTCTGAAGTCTAAAGGCATTTTTTAGAGGCTTGAGGACAGAAAGATCATCTTTTCTTTTCCCAAGTGGTGCTACAAGTTAGTGGCCAGTGGCCATCACCTTAACTTACTGCTTCCTACCATTCCCAATTCTATTAAGAGTATGGTCCTCAGCCTAACTGCATTCCACAGAAAATGTGAGGAGACTTACAAGAAAGCACAGCAGAGTCTTACTATACCTGTTAGCTACTCCGAAGGATAGCAAATACTGCACAAATAATAAACACCAAATGGGGATTTGAAAACAATGAATAAATAAATCTACTGGATCTGATTACTCATTAAAGATGACAGGTTTAACATATACTTAATGTTTAAAAGGCAAGTGTTTTAATCAGAAGACTTAAAATATCAGATAATTCAGTCTTGATTATATGACTGAGGCAAACAAGTATATTTAATCTCAACATTAAAATAAGTGAAAGATTTGCAAAAGTAAGAACACACTGTGAGTTCTTACACAAAATTATGACATTTAAGGAGTAATTTTGAAATACAAATTACTACCTCTGTAAGTGAGGCACCAAACAAGAGAAGGTTTCTTTTACATTATCATTCCACATCATATTACATCTTGTTGATTAACTAAATATTAAAACAGATCAGTGGAACAGAAAAGTGCAGAGATGCAGACCCACTCATACATGAAAATGTGATATATGATAAAGAACAGACTAGTCAGTAAATCGAAAAATATTGAGACTACTCCAAAATGTTAATAGGATTTAAAAATAGTATGTCTGGGTTTTGTTTTATTTTTTTTCTGATAACATCAATAGTACAGTCACTGTAAAAAACTGTAATACAGAAAGACATAAAAGTAAAATGTATCCATAATCTGCACAGTCAATCATCAACACTAAAGTACATTTTAATACATTTTTCAAATTTGACATTCTGGTTTAATATTCCTTTTCCCCCTCCGTATTCATTATGGGTATTTGCATGGATCAAATAGTCTTTGAAAAGCAAGATTTTTAACTGTACCACACATTTGTACCATAATTTATTTATTAATCACAGTTTACAAAAAGATTTAGGGCCAAGCACGGTGGCTCATGCCTGTAATCCCAGCATTTTGGGAGGCTGAGGCAGTCAGATCGTCTGAGGTCAGGAGTTCAAGACTAGCCTGGCCAACATGGTAAAATCCCATCTCTACTAAAAATACAAAAATTAGCCAGGTGTGGTGGCGAGCACCTGTAATCCCAGTTACTTGGGAGGCTGAGGCAAGAGAATCGCTTGAACCCGGGAGGTGAAGGTTGCAGCAAGCCAAGATCGTGCCACTGTACTCCAGCCTGGGTGACAGAGCAAGACACTGTGTCCAAAAAAAAAAAAAAAGAACAAAGTGGGAGGCATCACACTACCAGACTTCAAACTATATTACAAGGCTACAGTAATCAAAACAGCATGGTACTGGTACCAAAAAAGAGATACAGACAAATGGAACAGAACAGAGGCCTTGGAGGCAACACAACGTATCTACAACAATCCAATCTTTGACAAACCTTACAAAAACAAGCAGTGGGGAAAGGATTCCCTGTTTAATAAATGGTGTTGGGAAAACTGGCTAGCCATGTGAAGAAAGCAGAAACTGGACCCCTTCCTGACACCTTACACTAAAATTAACTCCAGATGGATTAAAGACTTAAACATAAGACCTAACACCATAAAAACCCTAGAAGAAAATCTAGGCAAAACCATTCAAGACATAGGCGTAGGCAAGGACTTCATGACCAAAACGCCAAAAGCACTGGCAACAAAAGCCAAAATAGACATGCGATCTAATCAAACTCCACAGCTTCTTCCACAGCTTCTGCACGGCAAAAGAAACAGTCATTAGAGTGAATCGGTAACCAACAGAATGGGAAAAAATTTTTGCAGTTTACCCATCTCACAAAGGGCTGATATCCAGAATTTACAAAGAACTAAAACAGATTTACAAGAAAAAAACTAACAAGCCCATTCAAAAGTGGGCAAAGGATATGAACAGACACTTTACAAAAGAAGACATACATGAGGCCAACAAACATATGAAAAAATGTTCCTCATCGCTGGTCATCAAAGAAATGCAAATCAAAACTACATTGAGATTACCATCTCACACCAGTCAGAATGGCGATCATTAAAAAATCTGGAGACAACAGATGCTGGAGAGGATGTGGAGAAATAGGAACACTTTTACAATGTTGGTGGGACTGTAAATTAGTTCAACCATTGTGGAAGACAGTGTGGCGATTCCTCAAGGACCTAGAAATAGAAATTCCATTTGACCCAGCAATCCCATTACTGGGTATATATCCAAGGGATTATAAATTGTTCTACTATAAGGACACATGCACACGAATGTTCACTGCAGCACAGTTTACCATAGCAAAGACCTGGAACCAACCCAAATGCCCATCGATGACAGACTGGACAGGGAAAATGTGGCACATGTACCCCATGGAATATTATGCAGCCATCAAAAACGATGAGTTCGTGTCCTCTGTAGAGACATGGATGAACCTGGAAACCATCATTCTCAGCAAACTGACACAAGAACAGAAAATAAACCACCACATGTTCTCACTCACAGGCGGGTGTTGAACAATGAGAACACATGGACACAGGGAGGGGAGCACCACACACTGGTGTCTGTTGGGGGTAAAGAGGGGAGGAACAGTGCGGGGTGGGGAGTTAGCACAAGATAGCATGGGGAGAGATAGCATGGTGAGAAATACCAGATATAGGTGAAGGGGAGGAAGGCAGCAAATCACACTGCCACGTGTGTACCTATGCAAGAATCTTGCATGTTCTTCACATGTACCCCAAAACCTAAAATGCAATTTAAAAAAATACAAAAAAAAAAAAAAAAAAAGATTTAGGGCACATCTACCTCATTACAATTAAAAATAATTATGTAATTATGTGATTAACAGCCCAATAATGAACTCTGTCGGCATCTATTTATCACCTTAGAATATATTTGTGTAAGTGAAATTACTGAGTCCAAAATATGAAGTATATATATCTCAACACTTTTGATTCGACCTTCAAAAACTCTCCAGACATGATGTATCACACTTTATAGTCTCATCAGTAATATAAAGCAACATGTTTCATTTGAATACTATAATCTTTCAAAAATTCTGTCAATATACTAGTAGAAAAACAGTTTAATTTGCATTTCCTTCATTGCTAATGAAACTGAGTATTTTTACCTGGTTTTTTTTTTGGCCCACCAGACATTTGTTTTGTGTGTTAATAGGTCCTTTGCAATCCCTCAACCCAGGGCTTCTTCAACGTTGGCACTACTGTTCTTTTCTTGTCTTGTCTTGTCTTTTCTTCTGTGAGACAGAGTTTCACTCTTGTTGCCCCGGTTGGATTGCAATGGCTCAATCATGGCTCACTGCAACCTCCACCTCCCAGGTTCAAGCCTCAGCCTCCTGAGTAACTGGGATTACAGGCACCCACCACCATGCCTGGATAATTTTTATATTTTTGGTAGAGACGGGGTTTTGCCATGTTGGTCAGGCTGGTCTCAAGCTCTTAACCTCAGGTGATCCACACATCTCAGCCTCCCAAAGTGCTGCGATTATAAGCATGAGCCACTGGGCCCAGCCACTACTGATATTTTCTAGTTGGATATAATTCTTTGTCATAGAAGGATGTCCTTTGTATTGTAGGATGTATGACTATATTCCTGGCCTTGACCCACTAGAAACCTGTAGCACACCACCCACATTAGTTGTGACAACCACAAATGTCTCCAAACATTATCAAATATGTTCCCTGGGAGACAAAAACTGTCTCCAGTTAAGAACCATAGGCCTCTTGCCCACCTCTCTAAAATTAATGTCTTTTGCTTATTTTTGTGTTATTATGGAAAAAATAAATTATGTGATACAAACATGAACATAATTTTTGAATTCTCATTTTATATTGACTGCTTTAAAGAAAAAAAGTACTGTTTTTGGCTGGGCGTGGTGGCTGACACCTGTAATCCCTGCATTTTGGGAGGCCCAGGCAGGTGGATCACCTGAGGTCACGAATTCGAGTCTACCCTGGCCAACACGATGAAACCCCATTTCCACTAAAAATACAAACAATTTGCTGGGCATGATGGCATGCGCCTGTAATCCCAGCTACTCAGGAGGCTAAGACAGGAGAATCGCTTGAGCCCAGGAGGCAGACATTGCAGTAAGCCGAGATGGTGCCACTGCACTCCAGCCTGGGCAACAAAGAGCAAAAGATTGTCTCCAAAAAAAAAAAAAAAGTATATATTTTTTAATATAAATGATGAAATGACACTAAAATATCTCATTTTTCTTATTTCGAAATTACCTTGAAGTGTTATATATTTTCTTGCTCAGAATCTCGTATCTGAAGGTGCCATGGTAGCTGCTTTGAAGCAATAAAGTTTTGACATAAATTCTAAAGGGAAAGTATTTGCCACTGAAAGTGAATTTTTCAAATTAGAGTGCTAAACGGTTGTACATATAAAGGATCCAATGAGGTGAAAAAAGCTTCAGAAGGTAACACAAACTTTGAGACAATAGCTCAGTGTAAACTTGGGTTTCTTTCTTGGCAACTTACATACTCATGATGAGGATTCTAAAAATACCTTAAGATTAAAATTACTATCTACTCAGCCATCTCTCCCTACCAATTAAAAAAGAAAGTCCAACCAATAGTATGTTCTAGTTAGCCTGACTTGTGCTTAATTTTTTGTGCCCTTATGAAAATGTCCCTCACTGGGCGGATCACAAGGTCAGGAGTTTGAGACCAATCTGGCCAGCATAGTGAACCCGTCTCTACTAAAAACATAAAAATTCACTGGGCATGGTGGTGCATGCCTGTATCCCAGCTACTTGGGAGGTTGAAGCAAGAAAACTGTTTGAACCCAAGAGGCAGAGGTTGCAGTGAGCCGCTATCACACCACTGCACTCCAGCCTGGGTGACAGAGTGAGACTCTGTCTCAAAAAAAAAAAAAAAAAAAAAAAGAAAAAGAAAGAAAATGTCCCTAAAATCTATCACTATACCAACATGGACTCCTCCCTTCTATACAAATGCTATACCAAAGATGACTCTTAACAACATGGCTCAGAATGACCACAGCCAAGAAGAAATGTTAGTTTTTTTTTTTTTTGTTTTTTTTTTTTTTTTTTTGTTTTTGAGACGGAGTCTCGCTCTTGTTACCCAGGCTGGAGTGCAATGGCGCGATCTCGGCTCACCGCAACCTCCGCCTCCTGGGTTCAGGCAATTCTCCTGCCTCAGCCTCCTGAGTAGCTGGGATTACAGGCACGCACCACCATGCCCAGCTAATTTTTTGTATTTTTAGTAGAGACGGGGTTTCACCATGTTGACCAGGATGGTCTCGATCTCTTCACCTCGTGATCCACCCGCCTCGGCCTCCCAAAGTGCTGGGATTACAGGCTTGAGCCACCGCGCCCGGCAGTTTTTTTTTTTAACTTGTACTAGCTTAACAGCTGAAGTGGATCTACCTTCCTCCTTGCAACTAGGGAGTCACTTTTCTCTCCACTTTTGCTACTGCTTTTTACCACCTCCTCTACAATGTACCTGATACCAATTCCAACCTGCCATCAACAGGGACTGGTCTATCCCTTCACCCCCACATGTACCAGACAGGACTGGGTAGGTAGAACCTGGGCCCTTCTTTTCATTCCACCAACTCAGCTCTAACATCAAGGTCAACAACAGTTAACAAGTTCCGAAGAAATATAAGACAATCCTTGACTAACAAAATTACTTCTTCCTGCCAGCCGGTGTGCTTAAAATAATAAAAAAACAAAATTCATTTGGAAAGCCAGACTTACAGATATTAAACAAATAGAAAATAACACAGCATAAACACTTAACTGCATCTTAACTGCAGAGATTTCAGTGATGGTACAAGAGAACCTAAAGATCACAATGCAGGTTTAGAACTCATCAAGGAAAGGCCTCAGGACAAAGTTGGAACTTTAAGCTGAACCTTATAGAAAAAGGAATTGGAAATATACTGACTTAAGTGAAGCAGGGAGCAAGTGTTTAATATAAACAATAAATGAGTGTCTCAAACTCAGCACTATGGACATCTTGAGCCAGAGTTTTAGGTTGTAATGAGCTGATGTCTGTGTGCATTCTAAGATATTTGCATCCCTGACCTCTATCCAGTAGCAATCCTCACTCCAAGTGGTAACAAAATGTCTCTAGCCACTGCCACATGAACCATGGGAGGCAAGTGGTGCCTGGTGGAGAACCACTGCAATACACAATCCCTTTTGTTAACATCTTACTGCTTACTGGTTCCCTAAAATAATAAGGCTGGGGAAATCAGAACTGCCAAAATCAAAGTCACAAAATTTGAAAAATAATATTTGTGGCACTTGTATATACATCTTTTTAAAGAAAGAGGGAAAGAAATCTAAATAATCTAAATCTAATATACAGGTGATTCATTTTAAAAATAAATACTCAGCATTAAAATCCATCTTATGAATCACTTTCAGTTGTACAGGACATAATACTATGAAGATCTAAATTTTTTTTTCTTAGGTATAGTCATCTTTGTATTAAGTAGAGGGGAGAAAATCCCCATCCATCCAACTCAAAGACCAATGCATGTGGTATACAGCAAAGAAGACAATAATCCTTCTACCATTTTAGAATTTATGGAAACTGAAAGATATGTAAATGATTAAAGCTTAAAATCTCTGTAAGTGAAATATAAAAAGTGGTGAGGGATTACCATACATTTTAATACACAAGTTTTATCCTGAAGAATCTTGAGTTTGAAAGCAAAGACAAGTATCTTAACAATGTCTGATAGGCTGGCTTTTAATATTTTGATATTCATCTATTTTGTGTAATTTTATATACAGATTACTTTCACTGCTATTTTAAAGTATACCCCAGAGTTATGCACTACTTTAAAATTACCGATCAAATAAGTAATAATTATCTGGAGTGCATTTTTCTAAATCTCATACTTTCAAAAGAAGAAAAAAATCCTTAAAAGCAAAGTACCTATCACAAGAGAAATCTGTACTTTGGTTTAAGGACTGAATATGTGGAAAATGAACACATCGACACTATTAAATAAATTAACCCTTCCTGGGAATTTCCCTCTACACATGATGAAACTAAAAAGATGAACTGAAAATATTTTATTGATACATAATTATATGTATTTACAGGATATATGTGATACTTTGATACATGTATGCAATGTGTACTGGTCAAATCGAGATTTGGGATATCCATTTCAAACATTTATCATTTCTTTGTGTTGGGAACATTTTAAATCTTCTTTAGCTATTTTGAAATATATAATAAATTATTGACTACAGTCATCCTACTGTGCTATCAAATACTAAAAAGTATTCCTTTTATCTGACTACTTTTGTACCCATTAACCAACTTCTATTCATCCCTGGCTCCCCACCCTTCTCAGCCTCTGATAACCCTCAATTTACTCTCTACCTCCATAAGATCAACTTTTTTAGCTCTGACATGCTGCATGAAAGCATGTGATATTTGTCTTTCTGTGCCTGGCTTATTTCGCTTAACATAATGACCTCCAATTCCATTCACACTGCTGCAAATGATAAGACTTCATTCATTCTTTTTATATCTGAGTTGGATTGTATTCCACTGTACATGTAGTGTGTGTGTGTGTGTGTGTGTGTGTGTGTGTGTGTCTCCATTATGGATATTTAGGTTGATTATCTTCACTACTGTAAACAATGCTGCAATAAATATGAAAGTGCAGGTATCAGCCAGGCACCATGGCTCACACCTGTAATACCAGCACTTTGGGAGACCAAGACAGGCCAGAACACTTAGGTCAGTTCAAGACCAGCCTGGCCAACACGGTGAAACCTTGTCTCTACTAAAACTACAAAAATTAGCCAGATGTGGTGGTGTGTGCCTATAGTCCCAGCTACTCAGGAGGTTGAAGCAGGAGAATCACTTGAACTTACGAGGCGGAAGCTGCAGTGAGCCAAGACTGCACCACCGTACTCCAGCCTGGGCAACAGAGTGAGACTCTGTCTCAAAAAAGGAAAATAAAGAAAAAAAGAATGGGCAGGTATCTCTTTGACATGCTGATTTCTTTTCTTTTGGACATTTATCCAGCAATGGGGATTGCTAGGTCAGATGGTAGACCTATTCTTATGTTTCTCAGGAACCTCTACAATGTTTCCCATAGTGGCTGTACTAAACTATATCTCCACCAGCAGTGTACTAGCGTTTCCCTTTTTCTGCACCCTTGCGAGAATCTGCTATTTCTTTTTCTTTCCTTTTTTTAGACAGGGTCTCACTCTGTTGGCCAAACTGGAGTGCAGTGGTGCACAATCTCACCTCACTGCAACCTCTGCCTCCTGCGTTCAAGTGATGTTTCCGCCTCAGCTTCCTGAGTAGTTGGGACTAGAGGTACACGCCACCATGCCTGGCTTGTCTTTCTGCTAAAAGCCATTTAACTGGGGTGTATAACATCTCACTGTAGTAGTGATTTACATTTTTCTGATGATTAGTAATACTGAAAATATTTTCATATACCTGTACATCTTCTGAAAAATGTTCAGATAATTTGCCAATTTTAATTGGATTTTCTGGTTTTGCTTTTGAGTTCCTTACATATTCTACTTACCAATCCCTTGTCAGAAAGATAGTTTGCAAATATTTTCTCCCATTCCACTTCCTTCACTCTGCTGACTTTTCCCTTCTTGTGAGGAGGCTTTTTAGCTTGATGCCTTTCATCTATTTTTGCTTTCGTTGACTATGCATTTGAGGTCTCACCTGCCTTTGCCCGGACCAATGATCTGAATTGTTGGAAATGTTTTTTAAGAACAAAACTAGGGCCAGGCATGGTGGTCCATGCCTATAACCCCAACACTTTGTAAGGCTGAGGCAGGAAGACTACTTGGGCCCAAGAGTTCGAAACCAGCCTGGGCAACATAATGAGATCCTGTATCTACAAAAAATTTAAAAATTATCCAGGCATGGTGGCACATGCCTGTAATCCTAGCTGCCCAGGAAGCTGAGATAGAAGAATTGCTTAAACTCAGAAGTTCACGGCTGCAGTGAGCTGTGACTGTGCCACCACACTGCAGCCTGGGTGAAAGATAAAGAGTCTCTAAAAAACAAAACAACACTATAGCTTGCTGCGGTCTCATCCCTCCAAAAGAAGTTATTTAAAAAGTAGTACTCGTCATTATCAAACTGAGCTAGGATTTTTGAAGACTAAGAAATTGGAGGAAAATATGGGTCCACCAACTGGTAGGAATCTCCATATCCTGAGTAATAACAGCAAATTTTCTGAGTTACCTGGAAAATTCTACACAAAAAAACTATAGATTCAGAGGGAAGAGGAGGAGTTAAAACTACTGATTTAATGATGGCATCATTTAACACTCTTTTTAAAAGGTGCATTGTTTAAAAGACATTTATAAAAAGAAGGGAAGTAATCAGAAAATTTTAAGAGTGGTACAAGAAGTCCAAAGTCTAAATGTCCAGCTTAAAAAGAAAAAAATACATATACACACAGAAAATGGAGAAGAAACCAACAATTATTTTTAACCAAAAACATTTTCTAAAATGGAAAATAAGCATCGGTGAGGATACAGAGAAACTGGGACCATCGGGCAATGCCGATGGGAATCTAAAATGGTGCAGCCATTGTGGAAAATGGTTTCTCAAAAATTAAACACAAAACTACCATATGATCCAGCAATCCTACTTCTAGGTATATACCCAAAAGAAGTGAAAGCACAGACTTAGAAACTTGTACACCAACGTTCATGGCAGCATTATTCACAACAGCCAAAAGGTAAAAACAACCCTGAACCCTGAAGGCATTATATGAAGTAAAATAAGCCAGACATGAAATATTTTATGTCACTTAAGTGAGGTATCTAAAATCCATCAAATTCAAAAACACGTAAACTAGACAGAAATTGGGAGGAAGGAAGAATGGTCATTATTGTATAATGGGTATAGAATTTATATTTGGGACAATGATAAGGTTCTGGAAATGAATAGTGATGATGGTTGCACAACACTGTGAATGTACTTAATGCCACCAAACTGTACACTTAGCAACGATTAAAAAGTGGTTAAATTTCATTTTATGCATATGTTCCCCTCAACCAACCAATCTGTAAATAATTCCCAGAATTAAAAAACACTAATTTTCAAATTAAGAGAACTCACAAGAGTTGATGTAGAGTGACCAACACAAGGGTTGACTAACAGACTCACAGAAAAGGACACTGTAGTAAGACTGCATAATTCTGGAATCAAAGAGAAGATTTTACAGAACTCCAGGGACATAAACCAGGTCACAAACAAAGAGGGCTCCAGACTTAACAGCTGTCAAAGAAAGCAATGAAAAAAATTCCTTCAAAATTCAAAATAATTCACAATCTAGAATAACCAGACTATCAAATAAGTAGAATAAACACCTTTTCAGACACTGAAAGTATAAAAAGAAAACTTATTATTGTGCCTTATCTCATTCCACCAAAACAACGATGTAAAAGAAGAAAGACAATGACATGGTATCTAGAAAGGGTTAATTATTTTCTGTGTTGATAACAGGTTTTGAATGATAAAAAAGGGTCTCCCATCATAAGATGGTAGGATTTTCATCTTCATCATAATATGGTAGGATTAAAGCAGGTCTAGAGAGCAATCAGTCCAGAATGGAGTAGTTAAGAAGGCTTGACAATAATTTTTTTTTTTTTTTTTTTTGAGACGAAGTTTCACTCTTGTTACCCAGGCTGGAGTGCAATGGCGCGATCTCGGCTCACCGCAACCTCTGCCTCCTGGGTTCAGGCAATTCTCCTGCCTCAGCCTCCTGAGTAGCTGGGATTACAGGCACGCACCACCATGCCCAGCTAATGTTTTGTATTTTTAGTAGAGGCAGGGTTTCACCATGTTCACCAGGATGGTCTCGATCTCTTGACTTCGTGATCCACCCGCCTCGGCCTCCCAAAGTGCTGGGAGTACAGGCTTGAGCCACCGCACCCGGCAATAAATTTTTTTAAACATGAAATTGATATGTAAACAACTAAAATTTGGGGTTCAATTAGTCATAAGCATATAGAAAATTAAATTTAAAAAATAATATTCACAGAGACAAATGTATATATTCAACGTTAATGTGACCAAAATTTCAATGTAATTATTTTGCAAAAATATGAGCAATTAAAGTGGGAAGTATGTGTGTATGCATTGAGAAGGAGCAGGTAAAAGAAACTAAATCTTAACTTCCATTAGTAAGAGATCAGAAATTTCTAAACAAAATTAAGGGGAAATGTAACATTATAAGGCTGTACCTTAGAAATAGGAAGGTAAACACCAAAAGAAACAACGAAATGACTTTAAAGCAGTTTTACTTGCAGCTCAAAAAATAAAAACAATTTACAGTGGTTGCCTCTCAGGAGTAAGAAATTAAAGTATACAGTAGGAGGTTTTTTTTGGTGGTCTTTGTTGTATTAATGCACTAAAATGTGTGCATGTAACTTTAATAAAAGTAAAAACTAAGTGATAAAAAAATCAATTTAAAAAGAGTCAGGTGGTGCTCTGGAGTCTGGAAGCAAGACTGGGTTGAAATCTTAGTTCGGCCACTTTCTCATTTCTAGGGCCTAAGGCAGATAACCTTAGCCTCTCTGTTTCGTGAAACAAGGATAACATTTACTTCTGTTGCTTTGAGGATTAACATTAGTGCAAACAAAGTGCTTAGCAAAGTGGCTGACACATAGTAAGCACCCAATGGTTGTTCTTCCTCAAAAAACTCAGGATAGGCGGAACATCTGAGTAATACATTGGATATATGCAGAGCTTTGGGGATAAGGATAGTGTCCTGAAATGACATTAGTAAGGACTGGAACAGTGAGAAAGACCTGTGTTACACCATAAAAAGATGCTAGGGCTTATACTGGCATTCTCTATGGCTTAGAAATACTTCTAGAGGCACTTTATATATCCTCTTTGAGAGAAAAAATTTCTACCCAATGTTGCTTTTCCACCCGTTCACAAAACTGCTCGTTTTTTTAAAAAAATGAAATATTCCTTTCCTTTCTTTGGAGTGCCATGGCACAATTTTGGCTCACTGCAACCTCCACCTCCACCTCCACCTCACCGGTTCAAGCGATGTTCTTGCCTCAGCCTCCTGAGTAGCTGGGATTACAAGGGCGTGTCACCACGCCCAGCTTTTTGTTTTTTGTATCATTAGCAGAGGGTTAATAATACAAAAAAAAAAAAACATGGTTTTACCATGTTGGCCAGGCTGATCTCCAACTCCTGGGCTCAGGTGATCCACCCGCCTTGGCCTTCCAAAGTGCTGAGATTACGGGTGTGAACCATTGCGCCCGGCTATAAAATTAAATGAAAAATTTCAACTAAGAGAGAAGTATAAAGAAGAGGGAATAAACCCTACATATTGCTTAGCTTTGTCAAACCTCAGCTAGTTACATTTTTATAGCTCTTGATAAACTAAAAGACATATACGTTATACTTATTCCAAAAATTCTTTGACTCCACCAGATTTCCAATCCATTGATTCTATTACCTTTTTACTGTCCCTCACCTCTCTGACAACTCTCTCCCTTTATTACCCAACTTCAATTATAATAATTATAATCAGGCTGGGCATGGTGGCTCATGCCTGTAATCCCAGCACCTCCAATACCCAGA